TAGGATCTCATTGGTGACTTTGGAGACAACAGTTTTAGTTGAAGGATGGAGCCAGAAGTCAGACTGTAAGGGGCTGAGAACTGAGTGAGCCTTTGGAGGCAATGAACAGAGACACCTTAAACTCAACATGCCCCAACTGAACTCATTATCTTTTGCTTCAGGCCTCCTTCTTCCCAACTTTTCCCATTATTGTTGAGAGCACCATCATCCTTCTAGTCACCTAGGCTCCCAACCTTGGTGTTGTCCTTGACTTCTCATGCTCACCACATGTATACATTTTGTTGTTAAGTCCTATTGATCCAACTTATATGTTTCTTATGTATATATAACTGTCGTATTATATTATATTATATTATATTATATTATATTATATTATATTATGTTATGTTATGTTATGTTATGTTATATTATATTATATCATATTATATCATGTTATATTATATTATATTATATTATATTATATCATATCATATCATATCCTATCCTATCATATCATATTACATTATATTACATTATATTGCATTGTATTGAATTATATTGTATTGTATTGTATTATATTGTATTATTTTGTATTGTATTATATTATATTATATTATATTATATTATATTATATTATATTATATTATATTATATTATATATTATATTATATTATATTATATTATATTATATTACATTATATTATATTATGTTGTATTATGATATATTCATCATATTATATTATATATATTCTTTTATATATTTGCTGTTCTCTTGTCTGACGCTACCATTCCCGGGTGCGAGCCCTTGTTATCTCACCCCTCAAATACAGCAATAGCCTGGTGGTTTGTTTGCCTGCCATAAGTCTCTTCCCTATTTCAGTCATCTTGCATTCAGTTCTTTTTTTTAAAAAAATTAATTAATTAATTTTTATTTTTCAACATTCACTTCCATAAGCTTTTGAGTTTTAAATTTTCCCTCCTCCCCCAAGATGACATGCAATCTGATATAGGCTCTACATATACATTCCTGTTAAACATATTTTCACATTAGTCATGTTGTAAAGAAGAATTAGAACCAATAGAAGGGCATACAAGAAAGAAGAAACAAAACAAAACAAAACAGAAGAAAAAGAAGCAAATAGTATGCTTCAATCTGCATTCAGACTCTATAGTTCTTTCTCTGGATGTGGATGTCATTTTCTATCATGAGACTTCTCTTTTCTTTTCTTTTTTTTGCTTTTTGGTGAGGTAGTCGGGGTTAAATGACTTGTACAGGGTCACACAGCTAGTAAGTGTCAAGTGTTTGAGGCCAGATTTGAACTTAGGTGCTCCTGACTCCAAGGCTGGAGCTCTATCCATTTCACCACCTAGCTGCCCCTATCATGAGACTTTTGGAGATGTCTTAGATCCTTGCATTGCTGAGAAGAGCTAAGTCTAGCAAACTCAGTCATCACATAATGTGGCTTTTACTGTGTACAATGTTCTCCTGGTTCTGCTCATTTCACTCAGCATTAGTCCATACAAGTCTTTCCAGGTTTTTCTGAAGTCTGCCTGCTCATCGTTTCTTATAGCACAATAGTATTCCATTACATTCATATACCACAACTTGTTCAGCCATTCCCCAATTGATAGGCATCTCCTCAATTTCCAATTCTTTGTCACCACAAAAAGAGCTGCTATAAATATTTTTGTACATGTGGGTCCTTTCCCCATTTTTATGATCTCTTTGGGATACAGCCCTAGAAGTGCTATTGCTGGGTTAAAGGGTATGCACATTTTTATAGCCCTTTGGGTATAGTTCCAAATTGCTATCCAGAATGGTTGGATCAGTTCACAACTCCACCAACAATACATTAGTTTTCCAATTTTCCCACATCTTCTCCAACATTTATCGTTTTCCTGTTTTATCTTGTTAGCTAACCTGATAGATGTGATGTGATATCTCAGAGTCATTTTGATTTTCATTTCTCTAATCAATAGTGATTTAGAGCATTTTTTCATATGATTATAGATAGCTTTGATTTTTTCCTCTGAAAACTGCCTGTTCATATCCTTTGACTATTTATCAATTGGAGAATGATTTGTATTCTTATAAATTTGACTTAGTTCTCTATATGTTTTAGAAATGTGGCCTTTATCAGAGATATGGATTGTAAAAATTCTTTCCCAGTTTTCTGCTTCCTTCCTAATATTGGTTGCACTGGCTTTGTGCAAAAACTTTTCAATTTAATGTAATCAAAATTATTCATTTTGCATTTCATAATGTTCTCTATCTCTTGTTTGGTCATAAATTCTTTCATTCTCCATAAATCTGACAGGTAAACTATTCCTTGCTCTCCCAGTTTGCTTGTAGTATCAGCCTTTATCTCAAAATTGTGTACCCATTTTGACTTTTACATTCAGTTCTTAAAGTGTTCTTCATAAAGCACAGGTCAGACCATGTCGCCACCATATTCAATAAATTTCATTGGCTCCCTGTCACTTCCAGGACCAAATACAAAATCCTCTGGTGATCAAAGCCCTGTATAACCTTTTCCCCTCATCCCCTCATCCCACATTTAAACTCACAAAGATGATTCTTTCTGAGCCAGGCGAGGCATTCTTTCCACTGTGCCACCTAGCTGCCCTAGTCATGTGACTTAACTGGGGTCAAAATAGTAGTGTTGGGGCAGCTAGGTGGCACAATGGATGGATCACCAGGCCTGGAGTCAGGAGGACCTGAGTTCAAATCTGGCCTCAGACCAGACACTTGACACTTACTAGCCGTGTGACCCTGGACGAGTCACTTAACCCCAATTGCCTCACCAAAAAAAAAAAAAGTAGTCTTGCCATTTAGTTGAAAACACACACACACACACACCTGCCTACCTAGCTGTCTTTCTTACACTGTCCATATGTTAACCTCTCCTTCTTGGCCTACCTCTGTTTCTCGTCATATGTATCTCTTGATGATGTTTCTTTATACCATTTCTGACTAAGCTGCCACAGGTAATATCCTGGGACTTATCTAAATCTGTATGATGTATTTTCCCGTTGCCTTTTAGGTCAATTTTGATTTTTTTTTTGTAACACTGTGGTATTCACAGAATTATGGCAGCAATATAGCAGATATTAAAAATGGGGCTTTTATGGTTGTAAGAAGATGGAGATCATTTTGCTCACTCCTCAGTTTGTTCCTACTTTATCTCTTCTTCCCATTCTAGGCTAGCTTACTGTCCTTATGCAGTGCTTATATTACATAAATGTATTGAAGGAGCAACTTAGTGGTTTGCATGCCTGACTGCTTGTCATATTATGGGCAGTATGTGTTCTTGAGCTACTTTGTTTTTCCAGTCTTGATGGCTAGACTAATCTTTTCATTTGTTTGAGTGATTGTATATCTCATTGATGAGATCTTATAGTGTCCCAAGGCTTGATACAATCAAGTATATTATCATCCAGAAACAGGAGCTACTCTCTCTTGTCAATTGGCATTATATATATAGAATGTTTCACAAAGCTTTAAGCACTATATGAATTTCCATGAAAGTGGGCAACAAATCAATAGAAACAGTAAGTATGTGAAAGTAAATTATAATGATAAAAAATGCACCAAAATTTGGGGTTGCAACTGAAGTTCTCAGTGGGAAAAATCATATCCTTAAAAACATGCATTAAAAATAGAAAGACAGAAATAATTAAATAGGCATTTAAAATAATTAGAAAGCCAACAAATAACAAACATAAAATAAACCCAAATGAATAAATATTAAAATTTAGAGGAGAAATAAACTGGAAACCAAAAGACTATAGAAATCACAAATGAAACTTAAAAGCTGGTTCTTTGGAAAGACTAATAAAACCAATAACTCTTTAGCCATTCTAAATAAAAAGAAGTGAACAGATAGTCACATTAATAAAATATTAAATAAGCAAAGTGAAACCACAGTAAAACCAGAAGAAATATAACAAATAATCAGTACCTATTATACCCAATTATGAGGTAACAAAACTGAGAACACAAAAGAAATTAGGAGTACTCTCAAAATATAAAGCATACAAACTGAAGACCAAGTAGATAGATAACCCAGTCTCAGAAAAAGAAATAGAGCTAATTTTAAGGGAACTAGCCTCACCAGTCCCCAACTCCTTTACCCTCTCCTCCCACCCCACTCCCCCCAAAAAAAATCCTGGTCTTGATGGATTCCCAAGAGAATTCTATTAAATTTAGAAAGAGAGCACCCTCCCAGAATCCCCTTATGACGTAAATGTAGTCCTAATAGCTAAACCGAAGAAAGATAAAACACAGAAGGAAAATTATAGACCAACATCATTAGTGAATATTGATTTGCAATTTTTAAACAACATCTCATTAAACGGACTACGATGGTTTATCCAAGAAATCATTTATTATGATCAGATTGGATTTATACCAGGAGAACAAGAATGGTTCAATATCAAGAAAATAATCAACATAAACATTCATATTAAAAACCAAACATCCGAAACTACACGAATATCTTAATAGATGTAGTAGAAGCCCTTGACAAAGTACAACACTCATTTATGCTTAAAACTCTTTATGTTATAAATATAGCAGACCATTTTGTTAATGTCATGAAAATATCACCTACAACAGATCTACATGGAACCTATTTCTCAGTAAATATGGGAGTAAAGCAAGGATGCCCACTCTCCTCACTAAAATATGAGACTGTTTTGGAAATGCTATGGTTTTTTTTTTCCTGGAATATTATCCTTTTTTAACTTTTCTGAATATTTGTAGGCCATGGGGTAAAAGAGTGTGTGTGTGTGTGTGTGTGTTTACATACTTAATCTTCCTTATGTGGAATACTAGTCCTTCCTATATAAACCTCTGAAAAAGGAACCTACAGTGTTGTGTAACCTTACTTGTTAAACCATGCCACATTTTTTCTGCTGGGCTTTCTGAGTACTCCACTTTCTTTAATGATAATTTTGTTCAGTTATGATGTAGTTAAACACGATCCACCATTAAGTGTCCTTTTTGTTGTTTAACCTAGATACCAGTGGAGGGGGGCCAGGATCAGCAGACAGATTCCACGAAAGGGAGATGCCTACGGAGAACTGTGAGTGTCCCCTCTGAGGGTCAGTTTCCTGAATACCCACCAGATGGCGCAGCCAAACTGGGTAAGCTGGTAAACAGAGGAAAGAATTTACTTTTATTGTGTGATTTATGTAGTTATTCTTGTGTTTTGTCTCATAAAAGGAATTTGTCAGAGTACTTTCTAAATTTTTGCGAACAATTTGTGTGGCATTGGTGTTAATTGTTCTTTGAAATTTTGATAGAATTGTCCTCTAGATCCATCAGAACCAGGTAGTTACTTTATAGGTAGTTCTATTTCTTTTTCTGAGATTGGATTATTTTAGATTTCTATTTGGTGTTATGCTACATGGAGTATTTTGTAATTTTGAAGGTAATTCTATCTTTCGTGTTCCTTCTTTCATTGGGATATAACGGTGCCATGTTCTGATCATTCTTTTTATTTCCTTGGGTTTTGTTAACTTTATCCATTTTCTACTTTGTTTTTTATTTTCTGCCTTTTAAAAAATATGGTTGTCTAAAGGTTTATCAATTTTGTCAGTCTTTTCAAAGAACTAAATTTTAGTTTCATCAGTATAGTCTTTGTTTTTCAGTTTATTTCTCTACTTTTTGAGATTTTCTCTTGTGCTTATTTTGAGATTGTTTATTGTTTTGGCTTCTAATTTTTAAAAAATGCATATTCAGTTCATTAATCATCCCCTTTTATGTTTTGTTAATGTATGTATTTTTCCTCTAAAGATTACTTTAGCTGCATTTCATAAATTTTGGAGTGTTATTTCATCGTTATCATCTTCTTTCACATAATTATTGTTTCTTGAGCTGTTCTTTGACTTAATACTTATTTAGGATTTTATTATTGTCTTCCTTTAGATCCATGTATTTTGTTTGTGCTTTCTGAATTGATTACTATTTTTATCACTTTATGATTTTTAAAAGTTGCATGTAGTATTTCTGCCATGTTGTATTTATTTGCAAATCTCTGTACCTTGATATATGGTCAATATTTGCAAAACTGCCATATGGTGGTAAGAAAGATAGCATATTTTATAATGAACCTTTTAGAAATTACTATAACTCTTTTAATTCTAATTTCTCTAGTAATTTGTCCAGTTTTTTTACATTTGCCTTTTACTTATCTTTATGTTAAATTTTTCACTGAGAAATAAACATTAAAGTCTCTAGTTATTGTCTTACTATCTTTGTCTTCTTACAATAGTACAGTTAAGTTTTCTTTTATGAATTTAGGCACTGCCTTTTGGAATATAAAAATTCAATATTGGTGTTGAGTTGTTTTTGCTTTGTCTGATTACAATGATTATAACTCCTGGTTTGTTTGTTTATTCAGCTGATGCACAGTAAATTTTATTGAAGGGTCTCATTTTTATTTCATGTATGTTTTTTGGTTTTTAGATATGTTTCTAGTAAGCAACAGAGAATGGTATTTTGTTTCCTTATTCAATCTGCCTTTCTCATTTCACTGGACTTTTTAATCTAGTCACATGTAATGTTATAATAGTTTTATATTTTCTTCCATTTGTGTATCTACTGTTTTTTTCCTCAATTAGAATTCTGTTGTTGTTCCTCATTGAAGTCAATTCTTTGACCCTACAGTTATTTTTTCTTAATCTACTTTAAGGCAGTCCTTTTCCTCTAGGCTTCCTTGTTCCCAACCTCAGCCTTAGCCTTAGCTTTTTTTCTAGTTATATTTAATGTATTGATTTATTTTTCTTTCTTCACTTAGTAATCTTAATCTTCCCCCTTTTTTCTCATCTCCCCCCTTTCCCAGTTACATGGTTTATTACAGATTGCATCCTTACCTCCTACCCTTCTCTACACCTTCTTTTGTTTGTTTTTTCTTGTGTCTTTTTCTAAGGATTTCTTTACTTATAATCTAATTCTTCCCCTCTTTTCCTTTCTCAGTTAACTGATTTATTCAAAAAATTTTCTGTATTTCCTATTATTTCCCTCCAACTTCTTTTATTGGTTAGCTTTTTTCTTTTATGTTTTTTTCTAAGAAGAATTTCTTTGTCTTGTTCTCTTCATTAATTCCTTTTTTTTGTATATTCTGACTTTTATTCTTTGATTCATGGTGTGAATGCTTATTTATTCCTTCGTTAGCCTGTCTCTTTCTCATGGAATTCAGTTTCTGAAGTTTTAAGTTTGAATACCCTCTTCTAGCCAATTTCTTTGTTATTGCCTTGTTAGATCTTGCTCCTTTTTTTCTGTTGTACTTTACTGTCAGAAGTAGCTCTTTATGAGGGATGTAATTCAGCTAGAGCCATTGCCTAATGGCACTAGAGACAGAAGTTTCCTTATATCCCAAATCCTGTGGTGCAGTTCTATTTCTGCCCCTACACACACACACACACACACACACACACACACACACACTCACTCACACACTTATTCTCTTTCCAATTTACCATGTAAACAGTTCTCTGGATCCAAAGGCTGGTTCTCTGTTCACCTTTCTGGGTATCCAGTTGCCCCTAGTAGCTCAACATTTTCCTTTTCCTGGGGCAGGATGTTGTCTCAGAGGAAATAATGTACTTCTATATCAACTCCTTTAATATTAGACCCATTAGTCCCCATTTTCCATCATAGAATATAATTTCTGCAGTGGGTATGTTCTTTAATGGGACCCTGTCTCCACTGGATGGCAGACCTCTACCTTTCAATCTATCATTTCTTTCCTTCCCTTTTTCCACCTCTTCCATTCATCTATCACTCTGTCTATTACTGAGAGACTACAGGACTTATCTTTCCTTTATTGTTTGACCACAGACTTGTGGGTAATTGCAGCAAGGTGCTGGAAGAAGGACATGGATGAGCATTCTGACAGTTTCTGTAACAGAAAGAAAATCTCTTAGTGGGTCCCAAAGCATATGCCTCTGGGTTAAAAATGTGCCTTTTTAGAATATAGAGGCTGATAGGGGAAGGGCTATTAAGAGAGGGCATTATAGATTAGCATTCTCAACTGTTGATTCATAAGCAATTACCTTCTTAAGAATCATTGCCCTTTTTGTCCTGTAGATTCAGCTGTAATTGCTCTGCCTATGACTTATAATCCCTCCTTTGGGGTTTTTTGAGAATTAATAGTGACTGAAGAAAATGTCTAATCCTCAATTTTGTTAGTCATGTGACTCAAGAATGATATATCTCTTTATAGAGAAGAAAATAGATGTTCCTAGCATTTAATATTTGATATTCATGAAGCAGATTAATTCCTTTATTAAGACCTTCACAGTTCCTTTTAAAATAAGATTGTTATTACATATATCTTTAAAAATGGAACACTAAACTCTGCTAAGAAATATTTTTATTTTTGAAGAAACGGCATTAAAATTACCATGAAAGAGTAATACATTCTTGTTAATTTGGAATTTGGGTTTACTTAGTCATTCCAAAGATCATGTGTCTCATTCTCCCACCTTCTGTTGCTTTTCATTTACACTGCACATCTTGAATAGTCATAATTATTTGCACGTTGTCTCTACTATTAGAATGTCAGATCCTTGAGAGAAGTGGCCATGTTTTTGCTTTTCTTTCTGGTTCTGTCGCTTAGCACAGACCTGACACATTGTTGTTCAATTGTTCAGTCACATCCCACTCTTTGTGACTCTGTAATCATGAAGCACACCAATACCATCCATGGTATTTCCTTGGCAAAGACATTGTAGTGATTTGCCATTTTCTTTTCCAGTGGATTAAGGCAAAAAGAGGTTACGTGACTTGCCCCTAGGGTCTCACAGCTAGTTAGTATCTGAAATCAGATTTGAACTCAGGTCTTCCCTGATTCTAGGCTCTATGCCTTATCCATTGAGCCATCTAGCTGCCTCATCTAGCTGACCTGACAAATAGTAAGCATTTAATACAATGCTTGTTAACTAACTGATTATAGTAAAAATAAAGTAGAACATTCTGGTTTGTAATCAGATGAAATAAAGGATGTAAAGCTTTTGTAAACTTTAAAGCACTTTGTGAATGTTAACTGTTGTCATTAATAATGAAAATGGTTGATACTGCCCTTTTCTATCTTAAATTTTTTTGAAACCTGAGTGATCAGTAATGTAATTTTTTAAAAGTTTAAAGATGCCATTTAATAATGACAATGAAAATCCATAGACATAATCCTGAGCTATCTAAACCAGGAATGCACACTATTTTAGAGAGCTGTCTCAACTAGTACTTCTATCTTTCTTTTTGTGGGAGGGAGTTTGCTTTACAGCTAACTTCATCTAGTTATTTGTAACATCACCTAGACAAACAAATGATTATTGTTTACATATGTACTTTAAAAGAATAAACAGGTATCAATCAAGTGATTTCACTGTCACATCATAAGAAGTAATATTTTATTCTCCCCACCCTATCAAATGTGATTGTGATAACTATTTTTTTTCTTTTTCATGGGTCCTCAAACCAAATTTACTTAGTATAGATGAGGCCAATAATCCAAAGCAAGGGATCTTACTTGAATAAAGAGTAGCCATTTTATTATCTAAGCTTGAGAGGGTACTTGCCAACATGGTATTGTATCATAGTAAAAGATATAACGTAATTCCATTATCTTAGCTCAGATCAAAAGTTTTTAGCTCCATTGACGATAGAATTGTTATTTTGTCATGATCTTTCAAGTATATTAATGAAAAACTAATAGATCTATTAAAAGATTTCTTTATTTTAGCTTATCTTTGAAACCCTCTGGCAAGCCAAAAAACAGACATCATGAAGTTCTAGTTCCAGTTCTTCAATGACTGTCAGCATCTTCATTTTAATTAATTTTGGTTAACTGTTTGTCTTCCTTAAATGGTAGGGTTCAATTCCATGGATGGGGTAAGTGCTGGGATAAGAGTTAGGAGGGGTGCTTGGGAATGGTGCCAGATATGACTGGAGTATAAAGACAAAAAAATTTCAATAAACCTAATTAAAAAAAAAAACCATAAAGCTAGGCATTTAGCCTAGCCTTTTTCTTTTTTTTTCTTTTGGCAAAATTAATCATGTGGTAGTTGAGGAGAATGTTATAGATCTAGTTAACCTTGATTTCAGCAAATCATGCTATTTTTGTGGAAAGAGCTAGAAAATA